CTTTCATCCTCCCACCACACACCACTGTGAAAAACCTGGCTCCCTTTTCTTGATACCCCCCTGTTTGCTGTTGTATAGATAATTATTTTTTTCTATTATTTGGGGAAGGGAGCTGGAAGGCAAAGGGGAAGAACTGTATTTCCCATGAGTTTTAGGATCCTCCTTTTCCCCATTTTTGTGTTTGCCTGTTTCCTTTCTTTTTTACCTTAACCTTCCTCTACTAGTTCTCAGAAGTAATTTCTTCATTCATTTTCTAAACAGAGAATGTTTAAGTGAGTTATATCAGGCTGACACAATTTAGGACGTTTCATTTATCTAAGCTGTCTTTATCTGTTCTTTCCCTTTTCTGTCTGGAAGTCTTACTCCGTTCTTCTTTAACAAAAAAATCAAAGCATTGCACAACAGACAAGCGTTTACAAAAATAAGACTAAGGAAGTAAAAAAAAAAAAAAAAAAAGAAAAACTGCAAAAAGTAATGGGAGACAGAAAGAAGTCTTTTCACAATTTTTTATGTTGCCTTCCTTCCTTTCTTTGGAAAAATGAGTGTTATGCAGCTACGCTGTTAAGGAATGGTGGTGGAGCTAAAGACTGGCATTTTTCAGATTCACAGCAGAAGGTGAGAAAAGATAAAGAGAATCTGAGCTAGTTCACAGTGAGAAGCCTATCACTGTCTTATACATGAATCCCTGATTGTTTTTCCCATGATACCTCCTATATCGAAACAAGGGATATATTCTGACTTGGAACACTAAAACACCCACTTGAAGGGCAACACAGACTGCTCCTGTCCCTTTCCAAGTAATGCTTAAAGAAAAAGCAACTGAGCCTCAAAGACAATCTGTTGTTGAGGTCCATGCTATGCCAGTTGTCCCCTCCCTTTTACGGGACAGCAGTTTGTTCTCTTCTGATAAATTCGGGTTTCTGGGACTTTACAATAGGTAAGGAGATCAAAATGCAGTTTCTTCCAGAATGGTATCTTCTGTTTGCATAACGAAAGTGTTAATGAGGTAAATGGAGAAATCCCTCTGTCTACAAAGACTATGGAAGAGAGGTTACACAAAGCTCCTGTCTTTCACCTAACCAAAGGTAGGTGAAATGAATCCAAACCCAACACTTTTATTACACCAAAATGACTACCAAGTATATGTGCTCTAACTTAGAGTAATTACGACCTCGAGGTACAATATACTGGTTGTAAATCTGCAACCTTTATGATACATGAGGTCAGATCAGATGATCAGAATTGTCTTTTCTGCCCTTTCTTTCCTGTCTAAAAGTTTGCAATGGAAGAAGTCAGCACTGGTTGTAGACACTGGTAGTGTTCTCCAGGAGGAGTAAAATAAGGATGTGGCAGCACTCGCTAAGGCTGAAGTATTCTAAATAACCTAAAAGGCAACTGCACTTATCAAAGGAATTATAATCACATTTACATTACACTGGGGTTAGTCAAACAAATCAGTAACTTGGGGACTGGGAAAACTGTTCCCTTTGTAACTGTGAGCTACCACCCTGTGCAAGTCAGCTGCCTGTTTAAAGGGGCAGCTCTTTGAATTAAATCAGAGCTTCTCGTCGACTGCACTGAACTTTGTTTGATGCCTTTAGAATCTTTACATCTAAGTCCAGGTAATGATTCTTAACCAGCCGTAGAGTTCCTGGCACTTCACTGTGAACTGCGTAGATGGGGTTTTCTTGTTCAAATATACATGATTTGCAGTAGATTATGTGTAGGAAAAGAGAGCCAATCCATGCAATTCTCGGAAATGTTTCAGGACCATAGACGGATGAAAGAAACATTGGATGCAAATGCCACATACCCTTTCCTTCATTCATCCAGAGGCTGCTGAAAGTTGTGAAAAAATAACAAAAAGGAATAGTTTCAAGAAGTTTTGGAGAGTTTAGAGTCTCTTAATAAATCCCTTATGACTGAATTATATCTATAATTATATAAAAAATTACTCCTAGTACCCAACGTGTAATTCAAAAAGAATAGATGAGATGTAAATGATTGCACTGGTAGAAAGCCAAGACTGGAAAATATGAAACATTCTTCCAAAAAAAGGGGGGGGAATGTAGAAAGTCAGAAGGAGTAGCTATGAGACTTGTACACCGGGCAGCTGGCAGTGAGTTCTGAAGTATACTGGTTTCATTTTTCATACCTGATTGGGGAAAAATGTCTCAGAATAAAATAAATATATTACATAATACGGACAGTAGATCTGCCAGGATTAACAGACTAGCACGATGGTTGAGAGCCATAGTCAGAAGCACATGAGATTGGCTGATGCTTAAAATAGTTTAACTGCTGTATCATGCAATAACTGAAAACAGCCAGAGAGTAACAGCCCATTCCCTAATTCTGTCCAATCTCCTTAGGTATGATTTGTATTCCTATTTCAATCCTTCTTCTTTTTTTTTGACGTACTGCAGCTCATCAGTTATGAAAGACCATGTCATGTTTGAAAATGTCTCTCAGGTTGGTCATATTAACCCAGTTCTTCCATATAGATTTACTTAAGATTGTCAAAGAAAGAAATACATGCCCAGAGAATAAGGACATTATTATTGTGTTGCTTAAGGGTATCATAAATAAATAACTGGCACTAACTGTACCCATTCATCCCTTATTTGCGCCCAGGGAATCGTACTCTCACACTTACCAGTTAGAATCTGAATTTCAAGGCAGCAGAAAGAAACAGATTTAAGGCATATTGGATCTGTGTGCATTTGCGTTGATTCTAATGTGGTCTGGGCATTTCAAACTTACTGCTTGCCTACAGATCAGCTCTGTAGTGAGCGTGCACTGAAATTCTTGCATTTCAAACCAGATTTTCTGAGCATATGGTGTTCAAGTTGCGTGGCTTTTGTCAGGAAGATTAAAGGTATTTTAAAAAAGCAGAGTGGGAATAAAATAGAGCTGACCTGTGCATGCAGAGTGTCTCGGATTCGTGGATGTTTGGCAGCCTGCTTGGAGTTACTGCTCTGCACTAGCTGCCAAACATCTGGAAGTTCATAGAAAAATTTAGAAAAGCGGCAGGGAAGAAGATGACCAGTAAAAGCAGCTGTCTCCCACAAAAAGTGGTAGGCCTGGCGCTCTGGATTTACTTGGGCTATAAAAGGATTCAAGAAAGGCATCTCTCTGAGACATGGAGCACAGTGAGTTACAGAAGCTCTGCAAATTGGCTTTTCAGAGAACTGTAAAAAAGGCCAGTGAAGCTGAAATCAGTCTGGAAAAGAACTTTGAGATATGCACCAGTAACCCCGGTGCAGGCGGACTGTTAACTTGAAACGTAAACTTTAAATCAGCATTAGCAGTTTAGCTGCTTGAGTATTTAAGCAGAAGTATCCAACCAATGTTAACCTACATTCCCAAGCGCCTTCTGCTGCCTTCTCAGGTTATAAAAGCCCCAGCTTCCTCTTTGCCAGCTATCTGTCAACACCCTCAGCTTCTCCCTTGCTAACTTCTACAGCGTGGTTGTTTGTTTCACAGAACTCAGTGCGAAACACAGATGCTACACACTCTTGAGCCCTGAATACGTGCAAGCATCAGAAAACAAATGTAAAGTAACACAGAGATGAATAACATAAGGAATAGTCAGGTGATCATTATATTTGTATTTAATTAATGACAAGAACTCGGTATTTAAATTCAAGTAAAGATGCCGTAGAATTTACAGGCTGTCATATCAAAATGCTGGAGGCCCCTACAGAATGTAAGCTGAACTTGTTGTGCCCTTGTGTAATTCATTTATAGACTATATAATAACCTGTAATAGTTGAATAAAATATATGGATCTGACTTTTAGATAAGGGAAACTTGGGAAGAGCTACTAGCCTGAAGCTCAGGGTAAGATTTGTTTTGCCTGAAGGAAGCTGCCTAAGAGTTGGGTATCTTTAATCTGAACTAGTTCTTCTGCATTCAGCGGAGAGAGAAAAGTGCCACCAGGGGACAATTCTTAGTGATTGTCCTAAAAGAGGTGTCCACAATAAAATGGAAAACACACATTTTGGAGTTGCCCGTTTCTCTCTGCTGACTGTTGAGGGAGGTTAGAGAACTAGTTTTATACAGCTTTAGGTGTGATGAATACTACTGCCTTAGTAGATGAGCGCAGGGAAGGCCTGCAGCGCACAGAGAGAAACCAGAACTCAACTCAGCTCGTCTGCTGTGGCGTTAGGGAACACAGAGGAGCCTGCGGCACTGTGGAAACCAGACCCGGCTATAAAACTGGAGACGGCTGCAACGCTGGATACTTAGGTACGCTGCTGCCACAGTTAAACTGCAATGGGGAACTGTAGTAGCTAAACAAAACCTGCCTTGGATCAATTACTGTTTTGGGTAAGCCTATGCCCACACTGTATTAATAACTGCGTAAGACTACATTGTCTGTAAGTTCTGTGTTTGCTAATGCTACCTTAAGCATTACAGAGATTAGAGATTGGGAAAACAGGATTTAAGAGAGGAGAGAAAAGATAAAGCTTTGTTACCTGGCTATTAGACTGGCATGTAACTATACATGTACTACTCTTAAGTTGTGATGAGTAGCATTAACAGCATTTTTGTGTGGGGCAGAATCTATTTTCCTTCAGCAGATTCTTAGGAAAGATGCTCACAGCATTGTTACCTGAAAAAAGTCTGAACCGAGAAAGGATGAACCACAGGATCATAGAACGGTGGCTGTCTTGGCTCCTTGGTCATGTGCCAAATTCTAGTGTTTTCAGTAACTGTGTTGATTTCTGTTGAATTCTACTAGGGAATTGGGTGACCTTTTAATTATTTTCTGAGGGAAGTATTTGCAAAAGTGACCTTTTCTTAACATGAGCAAAAGGTTGCAATAAATATTGGAGTTCTGGGAGATCATCCACCATCAAATTGTAATGGTAACATAAAACGATGAACCAGAATGTGGTTGTAGGCAAAGAAAGGTACAGAAACAGCACTTTTGTAGAAAGTTCAACAAAAGCAATGAAAATGACTGATTTCTAAGATCCTTGCTTTGTAGCGAGCCTGCTAAAAGCCAGGGAGAAACTTGTTTTGCTAAATCAGAGGAACTTGCCCACAGGAATTTCCCATTCAGCTGTCTCATCAGATCGAATCTTTCATTTAGCTCTTTCTTCTTGAAAAAGAGTGTGGTTATGAACTATCCAAACTCCTTCGATTTATCATTCTGATAAAAGTCTTCAGAATTCAGGTAGTAAGTTGTTTGGTACTGAAAAGGACAGGTCTCTGTCTTCTTTCAGTGTGTGAATATCTACGAGAAAAAGAACTGCATGCAGGCAAAACATTTTAATATTCTCTGAAGAAAGTTTTTAATCAGCAGCTTCAAAAGAGGGTTCAGTTAATGAGCAACAGAAATGTTGTTATAAATTCAGGCAACAGTCTTTACGTTTAATTCAGAGAGACTTCCTTACAGCTCAAGAGTACAAAAGACCAATGTCAGCAGCCTATAGGCCCGTGCAGTTACTGCCCAGTGATGAACCACGGGAAAGAAAACCTAGTTGCAGTTTCATTAGCTGGAGGATAACCTATAGATAATAATGATAAAATAACCAACTAGATGCCAGCGGCCAGCTAGCATAAAAGTTGTCCAACATAACGTCAGCAAAGTTTGATTTATGGACTCCAAAGAGATTTATTTGCAAAAAAAAAATCCTCTGCAAGAAAGTATCATTTCTTTAACCTATGTTTTTAGGCTCTTTTGAATGTTGCTTGCTTGGCTAAGCTAAAAGCAATTCCTGGCAGCAGTGTTTTGGCATACTCATTAAGTTCAATACTGTATCATTGCTTTAAAAGTATAGTGGGTTGTAAATAAACAGTGAACATGATGACTCTACGAAAAGCAAACACAGCACTAAACAGTCATTTAGCTGAAGGCAATTTCAATTGTTCATGCTTTTCCTGTGTGCTGTTTTCAGCAGTTTTGAAGGTCTTTCTCCTGAGTAGTGCTGTTCTGATATTCAGCTGCTGTGGCCGTTTTGGAGGTTGTATCAAACTGTAATTCAGGACAGCTCTTCCAGACTATGTTTCAAGTAACTTGATCGTGAGAGTGTGACTTGCTAATTTGAACTTACGTATAGTAAGTAAGTATTACAATATTTGAAATACTACTCTATAAGCAACCCGATAGATCTGTGGGTGCTGGAACCAACTGAGTCTTTCTTCGTACTGAGTATTTATACCCTTTCTCCCCGATGTGGATTCTAAAAATGCGTGTGAGCTCATATCACAGCCTCTTCCTCAACTGGGGGATTTACAGGATGTCTGTACTCTCCTGGCCCCTTATTTTCATGAAACACAGCAATGGAAGTGTCTTTGAGAACTCTGGTCTAGTTCTGCTGGTATTGTAGTCCTGTGAAGCGATACGAGGAGGGGCTGTGTGAGCACAGAAACCTCACTTTCTCAGAAAGCAAGTTGAAATATTAAATTCAGACTGTGTTTTACTGATGTATACCAGTTTAAATGGCAACACCTGCTTAACACTTGAAAGTGCCCTTTGGTTCTTTTCCAGAACCCTGTTTACCAGGGATGCTAATCTAAAATAGCTACTTAGTGTAAAATGCAAAGCAGTACATACTTAGGGTGAAATCTGGGGTCTGGATTTAAAGGAACCAGGCTGTCATCCTGAGAACCTCACTTTTATCATCAGCCCACTTCATAAGGCTACGTGGCACGATGAACTTGGCCTGCAAGTGTTTCTGTACCGTGCTGATGCATGCAGCACACATTTCCAGGACGGTGTTTGGATAGAGGTCCCCTCTGCTAATCCCAGCCCTCCTGTTTCATTGTTGCTTGACTCTCGATGCATCAAGACCAATGAAAAGGGATCTCATTTTCTCCATCTGAATGCTGCAGATTATGCTGTTTACCTAAACCAGAGGGATATTCTGCGTATTCGCTGTATAATAGTCTGTTTCTAAATAATCTTATTTAAAAAAGAGATTATTAAACTACTTAAAAAATAGTGTTTCACAGGAGTTTACTAGGGAATGCTCTTTGTATGTTTATATATTCAGCCAGAACTGTAAGAACACCGATATTTGCTTTACTGAATTGCATTTTTAGCTGAATAACAACATTTCTTGTTTTAATCCTACATCTCTCTAATGACCTTTGCTGGATGATAAATTTCAGATTCCATTTACATATGAGACACTGCTGTTTTGTTAAGTAGGAGACGTATTATGAGGATAATCTGTTTATCTTTAGCTGTAATTCTATGTCTAGCAAAGATTCAAATTTCTAGGATGGCTAATGGCTTAGTGAAGTCTGGTAAAACGCCTTTGAGATAAATCCTAGCATAATGAGATCAGTTAGATCTAACTGTAAAATGGAAGAGATGCTTAATTTTAATTTAAAAATGCGCAGCTTGCATGTGCTGTGCTTTTTTATTTTATCAGTTGACAGAGCTATATCTAACAATATGCTGGAACTGGATGGATCTTTTGAATATGCATAAACTAAAAAGGGAGAAACTAAACTTAAAAAAAAAAGAAAAAGAGAGAGAAGTAGCTAGCTTCATGTAAGGTTAGATTTAGGCTACATCTAATTCCACAGAAACTAATTTGCCTCCAGTGTAAATTATCTGGAGGAAGAATGTATCTACTTTTTAGCTACAAGATGCTTCTTACATAGGATATGTGAGTACTAAAATAATACGGGCAGCAAAATAACAGTAACAGTAATAATTTAAATCACACAAATCTACAGCTACATAGACAGTCAAGGGGTCCCTGACAAAATAAATATCAGGCATCTGGTTTGTTTGCATTCATATTTTGACTAACATATTAGCAACAGTTTCCACTTTCATTTTTAAATGTATGCAGTAGGGCATGCTTTTGTTTTTTATCATTTTCATGCAGTTGTAGTCCTTGTGATAGAAACGGCACAGGCCCCTCTCTCTGCAGGATTAAAGCTTCTGTTTAAGCACACAGCCTATGTAGTGGCAGTGCAAACTTTTCAGGCCTGTCAGTATATTTTCATGCTGAACTGCTAAGGGAGTAGGAAATTGCTTATATGCAGAAGCATTTCAGAAGAAGTTAAGGAATAAATTTAGGATATGATTGTTTTTCTGAAATCACTCCATATTTTGAAGTCTGAGAAGGTAAATCGTTGTGAATAGCCTTCTTAAGCTTTAGCCTCTGAGGCAGCTCAGGAGCTACTAACAACTGTCACTGTCATCCCAGTCATGGTAGTTTTGTAACCCAAAATTTACATGCGACTCATAAGATGTAATGGGAAGGGAACACCACTTCTGACAGCTCTTGTGCGTTAATTCTGACTAACAAGATCTTGGCAGTTGTAGGAGCTCACACTGGGGCAGAAAGATGCTCTGCTCCCACCATCTTTGAGACTCACCATGCAAGTACAGCCCCGGGCAAGAGACAGAGCAACCGAGGACACCCTTAGCACCCAGCTCTTTCAGAAGCTAGCTGTATATATTAAAAAGAAAGGCCAAAAACATTGCAGGCACTGAAGGACCTGGGGAAAAGCTGTTACTAGATCTGGAGCCCAGGATCCAGGAGCGTTTGCCTTCTGATTGTGTAATTAGAGCCCAGCTTTTTCTAACTTTCTGGAGCAGAGAAACACAGCAGTAGAGAAGTCTTGCAGTGAAAGCACTCAGTAGGCGTGTGGAGGCAGAAGCTGTCAGGAAGTACTTTGCTGTGGTCTGAGGCAGAGGGGAGTTTCTGGGTTAGGAAGCTAGTACCAAAAAAACAGTGCCCCCTTCCCTCTCATCATAGGCAGTACAGGTTTTTACTCTCTCTGAAATAGGACTTTGTTTCTTTGTACTGCATAGCACTTAGCACATCGTGAGACTTAGGCAAATAATATCATTTCCTCCCTGTTACATTTTTGAGGGACTATTTGGATGATTAGCCCAGCAAAAACAGTACAATTTTAAAACCGGAGCTGAAATGCCAGCACGGATTTGCGTGTATACGTACAGCTCAATCTCTGCCTGTACCTTCAGAGCGCGCTCAGGCTTCCCTTGGTGCTGGAAGGGAATTGCTTGTATTAGGACACTGCTAGAACTTTTCCCAGCCCAAATTTGGCCCTTGTCAAGCGCCATTCCTGCAAACAATTCCCAGGCCCTTGGCAGCTGGAAACCCGTGTGGCGGGGGTGCCGTTCCCACGTTTCGCAGAGCCATCCCGTTTCGGGGGCGAGGAGCGTCCCCCGGCACAGACACGGGCGCTCCTGCCCCTCGGCCTCCGTGGGACAGTTGACCCGCTAGCGCAGATGAAGCCGCAACGTTCCCGAGAGTCCCGTCTCTTAGAGATGCGGCATGTATTCAGAATATTTCTTAAATCAGGACTTCAGATTATATAATCTCGCTGGGGTTTCAGGGTTAGGACGGCTCTGCGGGCAGCACACGCAGGGCCTTCCCCAGCTGCGCCGAGGCAGCCAACCCAGCTCAGCACCGCAGGCGCAACACCTGCTCGGGAGCGGCCGGAGCCACGAGCTCTCCCCACGGGAGTTTACATAGACTGAAGAAACGCCCGGCTTTATGGCTACTGAAACTGCTAGCAGTGGTTTATTGAGAGGAAACCGGACTTCCCGGAATCCTGCTCTTCTGTGGAACAGACCCAGAGGGGCACGATGCTTGAAACTCTGCCCCATTCTATAGTTCTTCACGATGAGCGAGCCCTGGGTTAGTCTGGTTTGAAGGTGCCTTGCTGGAGGCAGAGGGTGACGAAAGGGGCAGGC